CCAGAAGTATAACCAGTTCTAAAGTCTGTTTGTTTTTGTTTTTGAGAAGTTTTCTTTTGTGGGGTGGGGAGAGTGGAAATGTGGTCAAATGTGTAGTCGGAAAGTAAGTTTAAGCTTTCCTACATATCCTCTTGTTTTCTTGGTTGTGGTGCTGGAATCCATTCGTGCTCTAGAGCATCTTCTCTGAAGAATGCCTGAGCTTCTGATTCCCTTAGACTCTCAGATAACACTTAATTGCCTACTGTGTTCAAGACCAGGTAGGGTTAATGTTCCATAAAACTGTAATATAATGTAACAATCTATTTAAATTCTTATTCTGCATTCCTGTTGTCATATATTAATGCTAAGCATTTTGTTTTTGTGCTCTACTAAAAACCAAGTTCTTTGTCAAAGAAATACTCCATTAAAATTGAAAAACCAGTATTAATGTCTAATAAATCTAATCTAGCATCCTTCTACCCTAAATTTAACTGTCTTGGTTTTTATTAAGATAAAAGTAGACAAAGTGGGAAGCCAAAAGATTTCCGTGTCCACCAGTTTGTTACTTTCTGCATTTGCCATTAAAGTTCTGGCATTTAATTCTTCATCTTGATCTGTAAATAAGTTTCCTAAAAACCATAATTATTATGAACCATGCCACTCAGGCATTCATGTGGACTAATTTCTGCCAAACAGTGTTATTCAGTTCCCCAAGGATTATTTTTGTTGTTGCTGCATAACTATATTAAAATTAAGTACATAGTAAGACAACATAAGCTACCAAAAAAGATTCTGAATGTTCAAATTGATTTTCATTTAAATTCAAGCTCTGCTGGTTACTGGCTAAATGACTTTTGATGAATTACAGTGTCTATATACTGCATCTTCATTTTCCTCTTCTATAAATGAGGATGTTACCTTTTTCATAGCATTTGTGAGCATTTAAAAGAGTACTAAAAAACTTAAAAAACAGTGCCTGTAAGTTGTCAGGCATATAGAATATTTAATAAGTGCTATTGTTATTAAAACACATTAGCATCTTTACTGCCCCTACTTACTTTACTCCAGCTCTGACTCCTTCCAGTGGAAGTACATTAATGGCTGAGAGCCTGCTCGTTGCCAGGCATCTACATACATCACATATGTCATCTTGTTGACTATAAGTTCTTGTCTTTCACATTCGCAGTTACACTGGTTCTGTTACTTAATATTCTTATCTTTTTTTTCCTTAGGAAAACGGGCCTTACTACACATCTTATCCTCCATCACCAGATTTGTGACCTGCCATCTTGGTTCCAAGGATGCCACTTCAGCCGTGAATTACTGCCTCCTGAAGTGATGCTCATTTTTCCTGTACAGATCCAGAGAGCCTTTTGTCCCCACCTCTCTGATATTTTTTTATTGACTATATTTTCTGGCACATGAGCAATCTAAAACTGGTAGGCCATCTGAACTGCACATTTTGAATTTGTATATTTGTATCAAATGTAACGTTTATTTGTAGAATATTATTAATAGAAATTGGGGGGCAACTTTTGAGTATCTTCAGTTTCCTGAAGGACACTGGCTTCTCCATTATACAAGCCAACATCATTGTTCATTTCTTAAACATTGCACGCTTCCTTTGTATATTTAAATGTTTCTTGAAATATATAGAACCAATGGATGCCAACCAGATGCATTGTTTACTTCAGATCCTAATGTTAGTACCGCTTACATCTGATAGAGGTAATCCGGTTATAATGCAAGAGAATTGTCCAGGACCAAGAATATGGAAATCTGAGGGGCTGGGGAGATGGCTCAGTGGAATAAGCGCTTCCCTGGCAAGCGCAAGGGCCTGTCAGTCCCTGGTTGTGCAAAAAAAAAAGAAAAGAAAAGACTGAAGAATATGGAAATCTGTCCCATCAAAAATCTGTCATTAGCAAAACATAGGGTTTGCAGTTTTACTGTAAAAGTTAAGACTATGATTGCAACACTAAATTTCTGTGGATTATACAGTTCATTTAGATCACCACTGTGCGGCTCTCAACCTTGTGGAGAAATAGAATGACTGTGTTTTCAACCTTTTTCCAATATCCATGAGTGACTTGAACACATGTGCTAGTGGAGAGTATCCGAAGACTCTGTTGCAGAGTATGCTGCCTCCCAGTGTCCTGCATAACAATATCAGGAAGCACTCGGTATTGATGCTTCCAAGGAACCCATTCCCCTTTGCCCAAACTAGTTCTTTAATGGAGATAAAGGAAAAAAACTCTTCATTTGTAGGGAAGCCCTTTAGAGTAGTGTCAGGCACATCCTATGTATAAATAAGAGGGGACTTCAGATATAAATAAGAGGGGACTTCACATTTCTTGATAAGCATTCTTACCTTTGCATGGACATGTTTCGTTTGTGTCAGACATCAACAGTACTTGTTCTTCATATATACTAATATGCTAAGCACTTTCTGCTGTGTTCCCTAGGCCAGCGGGTCAGGCAGCCAGCCAGAGGTCAGGTGTGAAGCTGCTGTTCACAGAGTACCCTTTCACCCCATGAGCCTTAAACATCTGAAACTTTAGCTTCAACTTGTACAGTCAACTGTTGGAGTGTATGTGACGTATATCTTTTTCACAAGACGCAACTATAAAAATACACCAACTTCTGTCTTTCACAGCTATACTTGCTACCTCAAATTGATTGGGCCTAAATCATTGCTGCTATAAATAAAAGAGATTGCACATTGCTTTGCCCTTTGGAAGGGCAGTACATTTATATACCGTATATAGTTTCTTAGAGGCAATAATTTTGAAAGAATAAATTTTACTTTATTTAAACCAAGTATATTAATGTTTGGTAACACAAGGAAGAGTTCTTCCTATGCTGAGATTCCAGTGCAGTAGATGTGCTGGGATATAAAGGTGGTGTGGAACCATGTACTTATTACCTGTATATATTATAGTTTACTGATGATTAAAGAAACATAAGGACCACTCTTCTCAGTGGAACTAAATATAATATGGGACAAGTTCATGTTTTTATAGTTGTCCAAAGTGTTTCACAGTGGTTTTCTAGAGAGGACACATAATGGCCTTGATAATGAAAGGATGACGTACGTTTAGTCTGTACATGCCTGATAGCCTGTGGTCACACATGCCTTTTTCAAGGCTATATAACAGGGAATCCAGGAGGAAATGACTGTAACATTGATATTCAAGTATCACCGAGTCCTTACTTCAGTTAAACTTTAATCATGCCAAATGTTAGCCGAATTACTGAAAATGTAGCTTGCAAAATATTACTCTGTTAATTGATATAATGCATAATAGTATTTTTCTAACACATAACATTTGTTCCTTCAGCATATATTTGGGTTCTTTTTAATTCACCAGTATTTAAGTTTCTGAATAGTGAAAAATGACCTCTTTAAAACAGTCTTTATTAGACTCTTTTTTTTTTCACGTATTTGGTACAGTGTCTCACTATGCAGCTCAGCGTTAGTGATTCTCCTGTTTCAGCCTCCCCAGCACTGGTATTACAGGTGTTTGTCACCACGCTTGGTCTTGGTGCCCAGCTTGGCACGCCCATGGCAGGGTCATCATAGCATGTGGTACTGGGGATTGAACCTGGGTCCTTGTCCTTACCTAAGCAGATGCTTAGACTACTGAGCTATTTTCCAAGCCCCTCTATTAGACTCTTAGTGGCAAATGGTTCATGCTATTAATGGAAAAAAAGTAAAACAAAATTTCATACCAAATACTAGAATAACAACAATTAACTGTGTAGTTATCCTCAAGAGTTCAAGGTATAGACATAAAAAATTCTCCACATGATGTTAGCATAAACCTTTGCAGTGAACGAAGAGAAAGTAGTGTTGTATAGCTTATATTTTTTTTCCTTTTCCCTTCTTACTATCCTCTTTCCCCCACCTAATTCCTCTTTACTTTTGAACAATTTCTTCCCCTTTCTCAATGTTTATTGTACATTTTAGACCTTATTTAGTCTTTCAGTTTCTCAAAACAGGGAGACAATGTTTACATGTGAACCTGGTTTGTTCCGCTTGTGAGTATGCTCTCAAGTTGCATCCATTTACCTGCGAAAGCTTCCAGTTTATCCTTCTTTATGGCTCAGTGTTACTCTATTTAAAAATACCACATCTTTTTTATCCATTCCTTAGAAAAGATATTTTCTTTCCTTTAATGTATGTCTTATTTCATTGGTTTGTGCTTTCTTATATTTCCTTTTTCAAAGGAATCTACTGAGTATATTGTGAATAAATGGTATTTTTGGTAGGAAATATAGATGTAGGGTTTTTTTTAACTTTTTTCTTTTCTTTTCTTTTTTCAAGAGCTGCCTGTATTTTTATTGTCTAATTCATATACAGGTTGTTATTGCATATTTACATTCTTCTATACTGACCTAACTGGTGCTGGTTCTCAATGCTAAGTCTTGGTTACATAAGTGTATTCTGCTCTCAGGATAAGCGTTCTCATCCTCAGGTATCCTCAGACACACCAAACTTTGATTCAGTCTAAGCAGTTACCCACAGGTATTAACAAAATGTGCAGCAAACAGCTTGATTTGTGGAACCCTGATTTGTCCACCCTTGTTTTAGCTTACCATTTCTGTTTTTATGCATACTAGAACTTATTGTTCTTATTTGTTTTCAAGTGTTTGTGAGACTCCATTCTAGACCAGTCTGTTGCCTACCTTATGGCAAGACTTCTCATTCTTTGTCTGCCAGAGTCAAGAAGACTTTCCTCTTAGATCATCTGAGAGTTCTGCTTAATTGACTGAGGAGTCTGTTTCACAAAGGAAGAGACAAGAGTCATTATTTCCACTTCTCTGAAAGAATCCCCAGTTTTTCAAGATTACGCAAAGCACTGTGATGTGGTTGGGATAAGTGGGCCCAAAGGGCTTGACTGAAGGTTCGGTGCCTTGATGATATCGGGAGGTGCGAGGGATGCAGTTAGAAATGGAGGCACGGAGGGAGGCACTCCTTTTCCTCCATGTAGCTGCAGACAGGGCACCACCATGCTGATTATTCATGTTTGGGATTAGGAGATTGTGGTACCCAAAGCAGCAGGCCATTAGTTTTAACACCAGTGAGAGATGGCAGAGGAAGCAGCTGGAGCCATAAGCACCCTGAGCTTAGTGGTGCTCACCATTTAAGTACTGGAAGCCTGGCTCAGGCTGCCTTAGGGCGGGTCTGCTGAGGTCTGTGGAGGTGGGGATCGAACTGCCATACCCTGCTCCTGACTGCGTTTGCATGAGCAGGCGCTTGAACAACTGAGCTAACTGGCAGGCCCCCCAAAATCATTTTTGAAGATTAAAAGATCTCTTTCTAGAGAAGGATAAATATAATCAAACGAGTGTAAAAATGGCCTGTCTTATTTCTTTTTTTTTTTACTTCCTTGATTTTGTTTAATATATTCAAACTAAGAAAATGGTTTAGTCTTTAGAACAGGTGATAAAATATACTATTCCATATCAGTGAAAAGATTTTCCCATGATACGTTTTCTCTCTATAATGTACATTACACGTACGTATATTCCTGATATATTGTGTGTGTGTGTGTGTGTGTGTGTGTGTGTGTGTGTGTGTACATAGAGTTTAAATTGTTCAATATATGAATAACAGTAAGAATTTGAAATCCTAGATAGAGACTTGTATGGCTAAAAGAAAAGCAGGTTGGTTTTTTAAAAACACCAAAACCTAAAAGAAGATAACCATAAAATCCTCTAAAGTTGAATTTAGGTAAGTTTCCTCCTTAGAATTCTGTTAATTGTTTTATCAGTATGTGTGTGCAGTGCGTGGTGATTGCATTCCCGACGGGGAGCTGCTGCCTGGACGTAATGCCTCCTAATTCCTTTCCACCTTCTTCCTCGCCCCCTCCCCCTCAACTTATAGTCATCATAGTCAACATGTAATACAGTGTTTTATTTGTATTGCACCGATGACAGCTTCGTGGCATGTGATTAATCCTTGATTTGTGATTTCCTGAAACCATATTCTAATTTGCCTTAGTCCTTCGGGGTGAATACTGTACATCCAATGGCTAAAACAGCAGTTCTTTCTCCTATGCTAGAGTCCAGGAAACCCCAGGATCAATGTGCCTGTCAGTGGCCTCCTGCTGAGGGCTCTCTTCTTGGCTTGCCCTTTCTCACGTGAACCAGAGTGGAGGCCCAGCTGCCGAGTCTATAATCCACCATAGTCTAGGTCATATAAACCTAGAGACCGTAATGGTTACTCGTGGGCCTAAACATAGATACGTAGATATGCGTACAGCACACACACATGATTTACTTTGCATTCTTTGAGTATCACTTCTGTAGTCCGTATGTAAAAGACAGAGCAACAAATATAGTTCAAGTGTGTGTTCTTACTAAACTTACTACATACCATCTTAAATACTAGTGGCTCTTTTGAATTTTAATTATTTTCTACATTTTCAAGAAAAACATTTTTGAATTTTTAAGTATGTCATGCCTTACATATATAGGACCACTGAGTTCAAGAAGAAAAGTATAATAATGTTCTCTAGGTGAATTACATGAATAAAATCATAACTGATGAATATGACCTAGTGTTTTTGTGAAGCAGTGAAACTATTACTTAGTACCCACAATCACACTTTTTTGTAATACATGTTGTTATTGTAAGCATACAGTTATGAACTGAGGCACTGTTAAACT